CGCGCTTCGGGGGAGCGAGGGGCACCGAGGGGGCTTGGTGTTGTGGTCATCGAGGGGATGGGGCGGACCCCCTTCGTGCTATGCCCATCGTCGGATCGGATCTCGGACCCCCGTCCTCCCCCGCGCCACAAAGGGGGTCCGGCGTTCCCGTCCTCCCCCGCCGCACATAGGGGGTCCGGCGTTTCGGGAACGCCGGACCCCTTTTGTGCTGTGGCCATCGAGGGGTGCGGACGGACCCACTTCTTCCCCCGCAGCTCAAAGGGGGTCCGGCGTTCCCGGAACGCCGGATCCCCTTGGTGCTGTTGCCGACGACGGGGAGGGAGGGGGGCCCTTACTCTCTGGCAGCACCGACATGGGTCCGGCGTTCCGGGAACGCCGGACCCCCCTTGGTGCTGCTAGAGGGAGGGGGAGGGACGGACATGAAACGCCACGGGGTTCCGTCGAGGAAGCGGGCGAGGGAGGGGTGGGACCAACTACCGTGCCGACAAGCGCGCTGGTGGGGTCTGCTATTTAGGGGACGCCAGACCCGCGCACGCTACGGTCGTGGAACGCCGGACATCTAGGGAACGAGGGTCGGGGTGTCGGGGTGTCGGGCGTCTAGGGAACGCCGGACCCCTTTTCAGATTGGGTGGGGGGTCGGGTGTTCTGGGAGCAAATGACCCCCTTTCATAAATGCCCCGAGGGGGGCGGGCGTTCGGGGAACGCCGGACCCCCTTTCAAAAACGAGGGTCGGGGGGGCGGGCGTCTAGGGAACGCCGAACCCCTTTCCAGAAACGAGGGTCGACTCCACATGCGAAGCGCTTCTGTTTGTTCCTCATTTGTTCTTTGCTTGTGTGTTTCCTTTGTTTGTGCCCTCTAGGTCAACCTGCTGCTTCGTCCTCTCGGGCATATGGCAGGTCAAAAATCTACAACAACAAACCATGGGCTCTGGACTGGGTTGGTGGTCTGCATAGGCCTGGGTGTGGGGCCGTCGTCTTCTTGAGTGATGACAATGGTGCGACGTGGTACTGCAGTGGTGGTGTTGAGAAATCTGAGAGCGCCAGGAATACCTATGACGGGAGGTCGTTCAGGACCATCTTTATTACGTCAGTTTTCGACAAGGATGGCACAAATTGGGTCAAGGAAGACAAGAAGGTCGGCCTTGACTTGCGGCTCTTTCAAGGCTACGGCGTCAAGGCTTTCTCCATGAAAGCATTTGACGTGCGCGGGGACGGCACCGAGCTTCGCATGCTGACTGCAGAACAGTTCCTCAATAGAACGAACGGCTACCGCGTCACTGGCTGCCTTCCTGTCGTTGAAAGTTCCTTGGAGCTCACCAAACCCTTGGTGAAATTCAGCAGCCCGGCGGACCAACTGCCAGGCGTTGTTAAGGAGTACAGGGAAGCCTTCTCGAGGCTGCCTCTGGACCAGCAAGCCGACTGCGCTTTCGTGCCCTTTGTCACGAGCTCGAGGAAATCGCGACAGACGCCATCCGCGCCGGTTGGGAAGAGGAAACAGTTGGCTGCTTGTCCAGCTCCGCCTTTGCCAGCCGCGTCGCCCTCGCCCTTGCCCACGGTGAGGGGAGGTCACGATATCGCTCAATGTTCCAGCGAGGCTACGGAGTACGATGACAAAAATTTGTACACGCGCAATGCTCCGCGTGACAGTGCCCAGGAAGGTGCGACTGCCCTCACTGAGCGAAACGAGGAGGAAGAAGATAGGGGAAGTTCCGGTCCACGTGAAGACGATGGTGATGACGAGTATATGGATGTTGGGGATGAGAACATGCAGGACCAAAACATGCTTGGCGATGACGACGTCGGTGTCATCGCCAAAGCATGGCCCTGGCGACATCCCCACCGGTTCTGTGGGAGCGGCTGTTGGTCGGCCCTTGTCGGCCCCTGCGATATGGCATTCGCAAGGCGGGAGTCAGGGTGGGCATGACTCGCAGGAGCACGGAGGATCAAAGTTGAGGAAAAGGACAAGAGAAACTTATCCTTCTGCTTCCGCTCACAAGAGACAAGCGAGGACTGACGCTGTTAATGAGGCTCGTGGAGCTCTGGTTGCATCCCAGGAGGCGAGACCTCCTCGGAAGAGCAGCCAGGGGGGAAGATCTGGCGGTCGTGGTGGCGGCCGTGGTGGCGCAAGAAAAGGTAAGCAGATAGTGAGGGAAGAAGAACTGCGGGACTCAGGGGATGAGGGCGAGGGAGTGGGCCCTTGCATGCCCGACAATGGTGATGAACCACTTCAGCACGCTGCGCCCATCGACACGACGCGTTGTTTCTTCCTCGAGTACGACGAGCAGGGTTTTGCTAAGCAAAAAGTCCTTCCTGTTCTTGTGGACGTCATAAAAATCAAACGCATTCCCTGTGGGAATATTCTTTTCAACCACCGCTCTTTGTCTGCAAACATTGTGCGAGGCATCATGAATGCCATCGAGAGTTTCATCACCACGGAACCAGGGGCGTGGGATAGGCCTGACCTCGTGCTTGCGCCGGTTGACCGCAACGACATCGTTGGCGGGTAGGGTAGGCGGATAACACCGACCGAATTCTTCGAAAGAGACTCCGCGGAGTTCGATTGGTATGCTGTCTGTGGTCAGCATACGGTCGAGGCCATGAAGACATTGGTAAAAAATGGCTCTCCGACAGTCGACGTCTATGGCCTTCGCACGTACTCTAAGGTGCGGGTCGTCTATTTTGGAGATAAGCAGACGCGAGGGTATTTCAATGTCTCCGCCTTCGACAACACGCGCGAAAATCGGGCCATGATGTTGTCCTTCGAGGATGTTGTCCATGATATGAGGCAATGGTGTATCGATAACCATCGAATCGAGGCCCCGAAAGGCAAGGTCGGCGATAAGGATGCGGTCGCCGTTGCGCACAAAAAAAAGTGGCAGAATTTCTTAAGGGCCTCCATGGGGAAGGCATGCGACAAGGCGTTCGTGAAGCAAGCACTCAAGAATGAGTACAGTAAGGATTGGAGAAATAAACTCCGTGGCTACATGAACCTCGCCAGATCCACCGAGGCTGTGTGGCCACTGGTCGAGAAGTTCTTCGAGATGTTCAACGAGGGGAAGCTGTCAGTTGGCGATGGTAAAATACCGCTTGACATGCCGGGTAGGATGGAGGGGCGTCAGCCAGGCCCGTACACCGACAAGACGAAGGGGCAAAGAACATTATACCATTGCAAATACGCGAGAGATGGTCCCAAAGGCTCCATCGTGTCGTGGAAGGATCTTTGTCCTTCCTACTTCAAAAATTTTGGGGATTTGACGTGCCGCGAGAGGGAAGTTGCACTGCTCCTCCTCATGAAAGGGAAGGTGGTCGCAACGAACGTCAAGGTCATGCCTCCGAGAGTGAATACGGAGTGCCTCCTCGACATCATGCGCAAGGAACGGTACATGGTCCGTATGTTCAACTACGTTGTTTTTCGCGCCGAGGAAAGGGCGGACGATGAGTGGAATGATGTCTTCTTCATGTCATACAAGGACCTCGAAGACAGGTATGGGCCGAACGGTCTGTGTGCAGCTGAATGGGAGAAGGAACGGGACAAGCTAGATGTCAGCAAAGTGAAGACGGTCCCTCGACGGCTTGGAGGGGTGGAGGAGGCAAGGCAAGGATCAGGCTTGGGCCCTACGGCGGCAATGTATAAGGAGGCTCCGTTCCACTTTAAGGTGTTTGTATACACCTCAATCGATAAGCTCGATCTGCTTCGGGCGGAGGTCAAACGGGTCACCTCCAACGCACGTCATATCGTGTGGGATAAACTTAAAAAACAAACAACATTGCTACCGGTGTGCATGCCATTGAAGGAAGTGCTGGCCGCGCCATACGACATCGTCGCTGCGGCGCAAAAAATGACATGCAGGGCCGTCATCCTTGACATCTCCCCCGCCAACTTTTGCACGACATGGACCTCTCAAGAGTTCGACGCTCTGCACACTATGATGACTAAGTGTTGTGGCGTTAATTGGGTTCTTTTTGTCTTCGCACCGCAGAAGGTGCAAATTGATGTTCTGCGTTGCTTATTCCAGTGGGAGGACATCGAACTCATCCTCGGGACCTGGAAACGGGTGGACAGGCCATCGAATGACATCACTAGGTATGGCAATATCGCTACGGCGAGTCGAGACATGATGGCTATTGTCCTGCACGCGGAGGGAGGGGATCTCAGAAAGGTCACGGTCGCACCCCGCCTTGTCAATGACCTCACAAACGTGCATGTTGTGGAGGACAAGTTCGGGAAGTGTCTGGGGAAACACGGTGGCATAGAGGGCGATGAAAGTGTGGTGTATTCCATCTGGGAGCGAGAGCCTGGCAAGTTGCGTTCGTTGTGGGGGTCATTCGTCGGGGAGAAGGAAGGTGTGTTTTTATTGGGTAGGGCACACGCGGGTCTTGTGTGGGAATTCTTACTTGCAGGGAATAATGTCATTGCCTATGACGAGTCGGCAAAGGACATTGCATACTTGACAAAGTTCATCGATATACTTGTCAAGGATGACAGATTCAACTGCCACGTCGAGAAACTGCGTTGCAAACATCGCCCGAACAGGGACATGTTCCACAAGTTAGAGCCTAAGAGACTGAAGGTGTGGGAGTACCTGTTCCGCGATATGCCACAAGGACGGCTTGACAGGAAAAATATATACAGGAAAGCAAAGGCAACAGACACCCTCAAACATTATCACGGTGCTCTCACTGGCGCCTTTGAGACTTTTGTTGCTCGATGCGAGATCCTGAAGTTCGATCTTCTCAAAGACCAATTGACGTCCAAGGACTACGCGGAGCTCGCGAAATCGAGCGATGGCTTTAACCCCGTCGACGGTAAGGAAGATTCTTCGGACTCCGACCTCGAACTGGGCGAGGACACATGTGCTGAGGTTCCACGCGGAGGAATAGTGCAAGCTCATGATGACGGAACTGTCCATTCGCACGAAGGGTCCATCCCGGTGGCCGCCCCAAGCGTCGCCTCAATGGTGGCCCCGTTGGAGACTGCTGCATTGCAAGACAATGGAAGATGCGGTGGCAATGAAGAAGACGACATTGAGATACCAGGTGAGGCGTCGACGCTCGCACCAGGCGATGCAATTCCTCCAGGCTACTGTGCTGACCTGAACACGATTTATTTCTTGGAGGGCAAACACACCCACACAGGCGAGGATCAATGGGGCCATGACATCATATGGCATGAGGGCGTTTTACAGCCGTGCATCCAAGATGGGGAGTGGAAGATGGCGGTGAAATACACAAGCGGTTGGAAGACTTTTCGCCGGATGTCAAAGGACATCTGGTTGAAAACGACGGAGCTCGCGATCCTGCATCGCGTGCGCGTCGAGATTCCAGGGCAGAGCGAGGCCGCCATCAAAGCCAACGCCAAAGAATTGTTTCATGTCTTGCGCGATAATCGACAACTGGAGTACAACAACAAATGTTATGCCCTGCACTCGAGTCCCTCACGCGGGTCAATCAACTGGAAGGTTGATTAAATCGCCAGAACCTTGGAGGGGAGCTGCTCTTATGATTTCATGCCTTCGGCTGAGCCGGCCTCCGTGGCCACACAAGCAGGGCACAGGGGAGATGACGGGACTACTGTTGTCGGGCCTCAAGAGGTTGACATGACGTCAATGCCGCAAATATCAAAAAAATCCATCTCGGTCGCCACGGCACAATCCTCCCCGCCTATCGAGGTGTCAACGACGTTGCCGTCGGATGCAGGTGCCATGTACGGGAGTTTATTGATAACAAATGCTGCAATGCAAGGCAGATCCGAGATCGAGTCAGAATCTGATGTTGGGCTGAGCGTGGCGGAGAGTCGATTGCAACTGTCTTTATGCACTGGCAAAGGTGATGCACAATCACCGCTGACACCATAGGGAGGGGCCAGTGGGGATGGCGGGAAGGGAGGGGATGTGGCGGGAATGCACCGTTCTCGCAACCTCGACACCTTAACCGCTGATATTGATTAAAAGGGTGAGGATGAGTTAGGCGGGAGGGGTGCAATTGGAGGGGGAGAATCCAGTGATATAATTATAACTTCACCTCTGCCTTGTTGCACGAAATTGTGTAATTGACTTGGTTCGTTGTTTTGTTTAAAACAGAATTCGTATTAGTCTCCGTAGGCACCAATTCTACATCGTTTTTCCATTTATGTATGTATATTTTTTTCACCTCAAATTTTTAATAGACCTGAGATGTTTAGATTGACTGCCCGTCTCGACGTCCAGTAACAAATCGTGGTGGGAGCGTATGTGTGGTATTGTACATCTTTCTCTCTCTCTCTCTCTCTCTCTCTCTCTCTCTCTCTCTCTCTCTCTCTCTCTCTCT